TCATGGTCCAATGTGGTGTGTCTGTTTGCTATCATGTTTTACTCTCTAATATTAAAGTTGATTGGAAGGTATCGAAATATGGAGCTTAATTTCCCTCTCTCAGCAAAATAATGGCGACCCCGGGAGCAGTGATCGTCTAAAAAAAGTGAATCTTCCTCTAGACATCTTTGGCTTCTTTTCAACTGGCCTGAATGTGATATGCACCAGTAAGCATCTTCCTACCCCTTTGAGGAACATGATGACTTACTAGAAAGGTCAAAAGGTCTTATTCTTGCTTGTATGTGGCGCTCCCACCGTCGACTGTTGGCCACAGGAGTATCTAATCTGCAATCACCGAGCGCATATGTTCGGGTGGGTGCTATCCTGATTAATTCCGGTGTGTCTCAGAAACTTTTGACTTGGTCTCGGTTTAAATTGGCATGACATTCATAGCTATGATCAATATTATTTGGTGGCTCAGTATCCTTGTGACTTCGAACGTCTCATCGATTGTGTACCAGATGCTTGATCCTTCGGTAGGTCTCAACGTTTACCCAAGCCATTGCCTTGGTGACTGACTACCATCCTAGTATGCTTGTGTCACTGTAGGTTGAGTTAAATGCCAAGTTCAAATAAGCTGATCTGCCATACCTTGGCTATCAGGGCTTGATAGTAAGAAGTTCCTTGAGTTGTCAGTTTTGAAATAGGATTCTTACTCTTCAAGCCAGTTTTCCACAATTATTGTCAGTGCTTCGAGGCCGCCTTCCGAGTGGGAGTCATTTGCCCCTGTTTCTTTTCAAGTTCCGGCACCCCGAGCTTTTCCCCAAGATTCCATGCCATCTATGGTCTCGATAGACTTATCAGCAAATGATGTGCTAGAGGCTGATGTCCAACTGGCGGAATCATCTTCCCTGGACAGATCAAGTAACGGAGTGTCGCCCAAAGAGGCAGTGTAGTAGGTAGGCTCCGAGCTCATTCTGCTCCGCAAAGTTGTCAAGCACTTATAGATATGATAGATAGAGTTAGAGACACGAAGAGTCCCGAAGTCCGGTTGTTTGAAACTATTCCCAGTGCTGGTTCATTATTATCATTGTGGCCTGCTTTAGTGACTAGTCTGAGGTGATATCAGTATTTCACGAGCAGCTATTTGTATTTTCCTGTCTTCTCTGAAACAGGCTGTTTATTCGTATCTGTAAGTATTAGCGTAACGTTTCGTTTCTGCTCATTGAATTCGTACTCTCTTAAGCCTACAATCTACTGGGACTCTGAGACCAAATCAGCAAAACAATGGACCTTTCAATATCTACTGTGGAAGCTGCAAGCTACGTCAAAGATCCTCGGCTGGGGATGGCTAGAAACTGTTAGCAAAATTTGAAATATGGTCATTCGACCCATCATCCCTTTGAAAAGTGTCGAGGAAGGTCTGAGCAAAAAAAAAACAACAAAATACGACGAACCCGATACTTATGTTTCCACCGGCCAGTCACTATCCCTCGAGTCTGGTTGTGCGCAACACCGGTAGACGTTATCGCACATCTTTCGTTATCTAGACAGCGTAGAGTATGAATACTTATTACATCTAAAACGTACAACGAACCAAACATTCCAGTAATCTACGGCTGTTCAGGATATCGCCAGCTTTGTCCTCCAAGACTCATTTATTTCATACAAGGCGCTCTCCACTTCGCTCTGTTCAATATTCAAAACCACTTTCCTCTCTGATTCAGACTTCCGCATCGCCGTAGTGCCGTCCTCAATCACCATTGCCCGAGACGCAACCAAGGACTCGAGAACTATCCTCAACTCGTTGGTGCTAGGTTTCCGCGTGGGATCATCACCCGAAGTCAGACTTTCAACATAGTTCAAATGCTGATATCGTAACTGTTTTCATTGACGATCAGTACAGGAAAAATCAATCACAGCAACATTGGCAAACGTACATCACTCAGTTTGATCTCCTCTACACCTTGTCGCTTCATACATTTCAGCAATGACGCAAGCATTATCCGTTCATGAAGACTGCATTCGCGCAAGTAAGCCGCCGTAGGACTGTTTTGCATCTCCTTGATTACATCTTTGACGTCGTTTGTACGTGCTGCCACTCCCTTGGGGCGCATGAGCTCCAAGGTGCGTCTGGTGGAAAGGGAGTGGGTTAGTGATCCTAGTAGGCAATTCGTTAAAGCGGTATACTTACCTGCAGACGTCCAGCGCACGGCGGGCGTCCCCGCTGATCGAACTGATTTTCATCGCAATGAACTTTACGGCGTCCGGTGTAAGGATCTCTTGTCTTTTACTTGAAGGTAGACTATCGTTTGCAGCAGCGAGACGAGTCTTGACGATGACTTCGAGTTGCTGAGTAGTATATGGTTCAAAGTTGATAGTGTGCATCCCTAGGTAACATATGAGTCCATATGGAGAGAGAGATACTATAGCTTCGTCAGCTCACCAAGGCGACTTCGTACTCTACCAGTCATTCGTTCCGGAAGGTTCATAGTATTCGCTACGGCGATGACGACGAGCTTGCTTCCAGCAATCGTAGGCCAGTTGAAGAAGTTGTATACCACGTCCTGTTTCGTGGTCAGCACTTGATCCAGTTCGTCCATTAACACCACGCTGAGGAGGAGTTCGATTGGATATTAAAAAAGGTTGTTGGCGTAAAACATACCAAGCGTGACTTCCAGACCCCCTTCCTCGCCCCGCGCCACCACTAAAGTGTCGTGTGAGCGACTTCAAGCTCTCCTTCGCACTAATCTTCAAATGACCATCTTTGGCTACATCATGTCCCGAGACAACTTCCCATAGCAGTGTATACGCAGCAGAGGGTTCAGGAATCCTGAGGCCATTGATTTCGCAATATGTGAACGGGTTGACTTCCTGTAAAAATCATATCTTCAGCAAGTCCAAGCACGATTTCGATAAAATGTAGGGCCTTACATTGTCCTCTGCCAGACGCTTCAGTTCTCGGATAACCGCGTGTACAGTTGCTGTTTTTCCCGTCCCAGGAACACCGGAGATATCTTAACTATTTTGAGCAAACTCACGAAAGATAGAAACGGCAGAAGGAACGTACAGATACAGCCTCCGCTTCCTTCTTCTAAAAGCTGGGCGACAGATCTTTGAACTTGATCGAATTCTGGTTCTCGACACGGTAATGCATCCGGCCGACTGCCAACATGAAGAGAATGCATCCCTCTAAGCCATGGGTCCTCTGGGAGCTTTTGTAGAACGTTATCGCGGGCGGCATAAGTGTTCTGGGGTTTGACAGCGAGGCGTTTTTTTCGAAGGAGAATTAGTAACGGCACGTCCGCGACGAGATAATGCGGCCTTTGAATGGGGTGTAGGGTGGGCGATAGCTCGCCCTCGGGGTCTGCGGGGAGTAGACGTCGTGGGCCGTTTGCGTTTGCGACTAGGTGTTCTGGGCGGTTGATCGTTCTCATCCTCATCATCCTCATCCTCAGAATTGCCAACAGATTCGTCGTCGTCATCTGCCTCTGAATCCTCGTCAGCTTCGCTTTCATCCTCTGCAGAAGCATCATCATCCGATTCTGACTCTGAAGCTTCTTCCTCAACTGTACGCCTACCACGGACCTTTCGAGTCACTTTAGGTTGTTCATCCTCCGATTCATCAGCCTGGGCGCGTTTACGCGGTATAGGAGTCTTCGGTGTAGAGTTCTTCGAGGCCTTGGAAGAAATCGGTCTTTTCGGAGTAGATTTTTTGGGACTGGGCTTTGAATCCACCTCCTCTTCCTCGGATTCGTCAGTCTCGGGCTCCCGCTTGACCTTTTTACGTGGAGAAGGCGCGGAAGCACGACTGACTCTCTTTTTCTTCCCTTTATCCTTGTGCTCATTCTGAACCATGACATCCCATGATTTCCCTGTCGCCCAATCGCTATGGGTGAAAGTATCCCTCGCCGCGAGTGCCTGTTTACGGAACGAGTCCCAGTCAAAGTCGTAGTAGATACCACGACGCGCGTCGACGGCGAGTAAGCACTGGAACTCCTGGTCGATTTCGTCGACGGACTTGATAACATAACGCGCAACCTTCGAAGGTTCAGCATGGGTCTTGCCTTTCTTGACGACACACGACGATATTATGGAGCTAGGGAACAGTATCGCGGTCTGTTGGATAGAGTAATATATTTCATTCTACAACAGATAATTATAAGCTTTTCCTTGTAAAAGAATAAAAACTCACGTCGTGATGATATTTCTTTGCACGAATAGAAGGCAGCTCGCTTGGTCTGTCAAACCAATGCACTCGAACTCGCATTTTCTCTTCATTTTCGGTCTCCAGGTCGGTTTCCCACATATCCACAATAACTGCAACACTAGGTAGGCGATTGTTGGACTTGACGAGCACAGTGTCACCAACAGAATAGACTGTATCTTCAGAAACTCTATTTTTCCCTTTACCGACTTTCCTAGTGAGTTGTGTCGCCTGGCCGATACTAATTCTGTCGTAGAAGCGTGTTTCGAGGTTTTGTGTCTCCTCTTCGTCCAATTCATCAAAGTGCTCGCGGTCATCCTGTAAAAGGTCCCATTCTGGATCTAAATTTCGAGTAAAGAGAGGATTATTAGAAGTCCAGGAGCATCTGGAGTTATTGGTGGCTTTCGTTGGAGAGGCAACGATAGGCTGATGTTGAAGACGCGTCGAACGGCGTGTAGGCGTCTTGGGAGTTGGCATGAGAGGAGTGTGACAGGATGTGACAGGTCGCGCGTGAGTTCACGTGCGGCAGGACGCTCTCATAGTAGGACTCGTTTCGAAGGAAACAAAAAACGGATTTTCCTGTAAGCTTAAGCAGGATCGAACCCAAGACCTTCGCAAATACCGACTGGTGACCAGATCCGAGTAGTAGCACGACGCTGCGACCAACTGAGCTAGCCGACCATGCTCAACCTAAAGTCTGTGTTTAACTTGTGATCAATATAATATTTTCCAGGAGGTAATACTAGTACTGGTATAGTCATCATTGTTATCCTTTAGTAAAAGGATAACAAAAAGTTGATCAGCTGCTGAAGATTGGCCAACGTGGGGATCGAACCCAAGACCTTCGCGTTAATATAATATTAGCACGACGCTCTAACCAACTGAGCTAGTCGGCCATAGCGAAAAGCAAACTTTCAGACTAGAATTATCTCCCTTTTTAACGGCGCCCTCACGTGTGTGCCTTTGTTCTAGCCTCTCCCTTGTTCTTCCTCCTCTCACCATGACCTCACGAACACCAACACCTCATTCTTCGCCCTACAGGACCGCCGTATCCTCACTCGTCTCCGCGCCACCATTTATCTCTGCGTCACGATACAGATTACAATCACTCTACTCCGATTTCTCTAGCCAGAAGCACACAAATCCTGCTTCATACCAAGCAAATGTTGACTGGTGGCGACGAACACTGGAGACTTATGTCGCAGATGGGTTCCAAGGATCTAGTAGACTTGTATTAAGGGCCGGAAAGCAGCTAGTGGACAACTTTAGAGTAGATGGTGCGAAACCTATAGGTTTCGACACTGTTCTCGTGAGTATCTACATTGTTTGTTCGAATTTTCGAGAACTCTGACCTTGTCTTTGTGCTAGTATAGACTGAACTCTTGTCCTCGCCTTCATCATCGACATCCTTACCAACATTACTTTCGCTCTCAACATTTCTTTCACTCTCCAGCTCCCTCTATGCGTCCAAATCTAAATCATACCTCACCGTGATACCAAGTCTCTTTCTCTCTTATGTTGTCGCAAAGCCTCTCTGGTGGGCACTCGAACAGGTCGGCGTTGTGGGGGAAGACAGCTTAGCCACCAGCGTATCAAGCACATTTTCGTCATTTGGCTCTGGAGCATCAAAGTCAGATACGAGGTGGTACGGTGACTACGTTCTGCTTCGTCTGGTTGAGCGTGCAGCAGAGGCAATAATAGAAACTCAGGAAATCAAAAGCACAGGTCCAGCTGATGCACTGTACTCGTTCGATTCATTCCGGAGAGAGTTTGCAGAGTGCTTGAATCTGGATGAAACCGCGTCGATGAGTGAATCGGACATGAAAGTGATATTGAGATACTTGGAACGGGACAAGGGCGTAGTGGTTGTTGACGATGGAGTATGTTTGATTATCTCGCATCCGTCGCTCTGCTAATGTGCTCTCAGGTGGTCAAATTCGTCGAGGATGGCGAAGACGAGATAACTGCTGTCGACCGAGGCATACTCGAACTCAAGACCGCAGTGGCAAACTTACATTCTCAGATCGAAGGTATACACAGGAAAATGGATCTGTATGTTTACATGTCCCTAGATCATTCGCGTTTGCTTACATCTGATGTTATAGCTGCACGGAGAAAGCTGGGGAAGCTCTGAAACATAAACGCAAGTCCATTGCACTAGGTTACCTGCGCTCCAAGAAGCAACTGGATGAGCTACTATCCAAACGGATGGGTGCGTTAGGTAACCTAGAAGGAACTCTGATTCAAGTAGAAGGCGCAGCTGGCGATATCGAGGTACGCAAACTAAATCAACCAGACAAGAACTCAATCTCATCGTTTGTTCAACAGATTCTGAAATCGTACAAAGCTTCCACAACAACATTACGTTCCATCCTATCACATCCTTCTCTGCAACGTGACTCTATTGACCAGACGATGGAAGCTATGGCAGAGGCAAATGCCGATGCGAGGGAAATAGATGACGCAGTACGGATTGGTGGTGATATTGCAGTAGGTGTTAGTGATATTGATGACGACGAGCTGGAAGAGGAATTGAAGAAGCTCACTGTTGAATCGGAGCGGGAGAAAGAAGACATGGAAAGTTCTACAGAAGCAAGGCTGGACGGGATACCAGAAACTCCATCACATACAGTGCTGTATATCACTCAATCAGGGCCTGATAGTAATAGGGAAGCTATCCAGTCGTAGATTCTAAATAATCAAGTTAAGTCTTGTACTTCAAAATCGAACGACTTGATCCACTGAGATCGGAACAATTAGTCTGGCTAGTTCTGGTGCTGCAGCCAACTTATCACACTTTGGCTGTACACTCCTTTCATTTCCAGGTTAGGTTAGGTTAGGTTTATAGGCGTCGACGACGTGCAGGAGTTCTTGTCGAAAATCTGATTATAATTAAAGAGCTAATGAATGCAACTGGGGTTCAGTCATATAAAGATACAGTCCGCTTTTACACCTTTCTACCTTTCTACATCGTTCTACCTTTCCACCTTTCTACACCCTCGCCCCCCACATCTCACTAGTGAGTGTTATTCCCCAGTTGGAGTCTGAGATTCTAATAAGCACTCCGAGTCAGTGTCCTCCCCTTCCTCCTCCAACTCGACCGGTGCAATTGTCGCAGGAGCTATCGCAGGGTCATTGATCCTGGTTGGCTCGATATGCATTTTGTTCTTCATCTATCGGTTCAAACGGAAACGGAAGACCAGAATAACTCCCCACCAAGCGAATTCGTTCCAAAGACCTGACAACCTTCGCAGTCGCCCGACGTATTCAGCGATTGCCAGTGTTCCTGGGTCCAGCCAGCGCCAGGCTAACCCATCACATCACACGATTCCCAATATTAATGTTCCTGAGTCCAGCCACCAGGCTAACCCATCACATCATATTATCCCCAGCCAAGCTGGTCCTCAACCTGGGCTTGAGCGCCCAGGGCAACAGACGAGTACAGAGCGAGAGTCTGAGAATATTCAATCTCAGATGACACAATTGCAACATGCAAATACAGAGTTAAGAGATGAAGTGGCTCGGGTGCTGGGGCATGTACGGCGTCTTGAAGTCCAGATCGAGCTGGAGGCATTGGAAAGAGAGGCGCAAGACACGGCGCCGCCTCCGACATACGTATCGGGATAAAAAGTACAAGGATGTAATTAATGGAAGTGTGAGCGCCCAATCTGACCTTGAAGGGCGTCTAGCCTTGTCTAAACTCTTTGCTAAACTCCATGGACTCTATACGTTTGTTCACAGGCAAGCAGTGCAAACTTATATAGATCTTTCCGTGTTGTGATAAAAGCACCAGGCAGCAGTCACTGTGCCGAAATACAGTACTGAGCCTTTCATTAGCAATTTTTTCAGCTTAACAGTGGCGCCAGGTGGCAGATAGTCAAAGCATCAACGGGTTGGTAGCCATTTAATACCTCGACTCAAGGTATCAAGAGGTTTTAGAGTTTGCCTTCGGGAGACAAGCTCCCATCTAGTATTGTGTGATGTGGCTCTACTTGGGTAAATGGGAGCTTGGCATCGCAACAGCCAAGCAATGCTATTGAGCGCGCCCTCACACTGGAACTGCTCACCATGAATGAACGTTGATGCACAACAATTATGTTGTATCTTGGTTGGTTAAACTATGTAAGGGCAATGACCTTGTATTCCCGTGCTAGTACCCGTTGATAGTGATATCATTCCTAATCCTATTCTGCTTTTTAGCCGTCGGAAAGGTGAAAACGAAACCTCAAAAATACCGGCGCTTGGTCTTTCCTGGGCATCTATCATGTCGAGTTTTCTCAAGAGGTAAGTGCCTGCTCATCGGTGTAGCTATACTACTACTCATCCGAATCGCAGCTCCGAGCTAGAAAGTGATACCTACTCTCAAGCCTTCACTATTCTCAGCAAAGCCCAGTTAGAGGTTATTTTCTCCAATGAATTTCAGTGGTCTGAAATTGTCACTTTCACCAAGGCTTTGACTCGCGAGATGACTGCAGGAGTCTTTGACTATGAACCAACGCTTAATCGACTGCGTGAAGGCAATATACCTACATCTTCCACAGAGATTTCAGAAGTTCTTGAACTTATCAAGGGTGCAGAAGCTCAGCTGTCTAAATTAGATGAGTTTGCCGGTCAGATTCAAAAGAAACAAGATGAGTGGAAAATGTGCGTTGAAACCACCCCTGGGCTCGTTTCTTCTGTTCCTCATCTTCCGGAGGATGGGGCTGCTCTTGCGGCGGTTCAGTATGACGACCTTGAACAATCCCGTTCAAAGTTGATAGATGCGGGAGATGAACTGAAACGGTTCATCAGAGTCATGACGACGTTCATCTCATCCCCTGCTCGTCATCTTCCCGAAGACATTCTCTTGGAAATCTTCATGATGTACATTACTAGCGGGGAGTTTAGATATCGAAAGCTTGGGCGTAAAGAAGTATACAGTAAACAAAGTCGGCCATATTCCCTCGCAATGGTACCCAAACGACGTTTGGTACACTGTCCAACTCTCCGTCTTTCTCAGATATGCTCTTTTTGGCGGCGAGTCGTTCTCTCGCAACCTTCACTTTGGCAATCTCTTGCAATTCAACTCGACGACTTTGCCGATAACCATCTCGAGCTGCTTTCTCACCATCTCTTACATTCTGCCAACCTACCTTTGACGCTTCTTATCAATTCGTGGAAGGTGCTAAAGAAGACTGAATATCGATCACAGTGCCACCCATCTATGCAAGCTTTCAACTTGCTACTCGACCATTCTTCACGTTGGAAAGAGGTCATTTTAGACCTAGGACCGGTATTGCTAGTCCCCCAATTTCTAAGCATGGTGCTTCTTCGGGGTACTGGTTTTTCCAACATGAGGCACCTAGACCTTCGATTCACAATAAGTAGAAAGAAAAAAGGAAGAATTCGTTACAAGGAATTTTTACAGTTCCTTGTTCATATGCCCAACCTACCCACTCTTACTGGAGCACGGTTCGATTGGGGAATTCTTAGTCAATGCGACTTGTCCAAGTTGATTGAACTTCGATCAGTTAATTTTCATGGCACATCATTGGGCCTGTTTTTAAGCCGTATGCCTGGATTAAAGGAATGCCACTTGGAGGAGTTCCGATTTTTATCTGGAACTTTGCTACAAGGAGATTGCCGCTCCAATCTCTCCACTCTTTCTTTGAATTTGGATGGATTCCTTGATTACGGGCCAGGAGTATGGAAGAATCTCTTTATACCACACCTGAAAACACTCCATCTTCTTGGCCGCGGTGGACTTCGTTCAAGATGGTCGGAACACAACTCTATCATCATTGCAGACCTCTCTTCTATGATTCTATCGTCCCGAGCAACTCTTCAGCGGCTGGAACTCCAGGGTGTTCCTTCGCAGGATGCTATAATGTTTATCAAATCACATCCCTCCGTTGCT